ATGGTGCTTTGGTTGCTCGTGCTAAGGACCGACTCCGTGCAGCTGCCAGAGCCCGGCTGGATCGCATGTGTGCCAAGAAAAAGAAGAAGACCCAATATGCCGTTGAGACCTGGGTTGCGGACGAATGGGCCAAAAACAAAGACGGCATGATCCGCATGCTTATGGACAGCAATTTCTCGAAGGACCCCGATTGCCCTAGTCAACTCAATTCAACCGCTCTTTTCTTGTGTGGGCCCAGGAGGAGTTTCTGACCCGCCTGGAGAGGGTGGTCTCCCGCAAGCAGAGCCACACCATCACCTTGGAGGAGGGCTGGTACTCTGAGAAGGAGATGAAGGATGACTTGGGATGGTCGCCGTTGCGCCCTGAGACTTACAAGTTGCATGGTGATAGACCAAACTACCAAACTGCTTCGCGCAAAAATAGTCTGCTTTCAGTCATGTCGGATCATTAAGGTTGAGGATATCGGGGGCAAAAAGTCTTTGTGAGAAGAGGGCGGACGAGTTGGTGCGGTAACTTGTTGAAAGCTAAGTCCATGCACTTGCTATTGTGCATTTCGATTGTTTGTTGCAGCTTGCTTCAACTCAGGAAGAACCGCTATGACAATACGGATGAATTCTGGGTCTGTACCAGAGAGAAAGGCGAAAGGAAAGAAGAGCACTCGATCGAGGAAACCCGCCGCGAACAGGGAAAGGCCCTTCTTTCTTTTAACACCTTCGATCAATCGACTGTTTGCCACAGGCCCCGGAGCAGGGTATCACCATTGACCCGAAAGCTTTTGCTGGTGTGGATGCCATGAAAGCGCGCCAAGCTCTCGTGACGAGCGTTGGCAACAGCGCCGAACCCAAGCCTGTGAACCAGGGCAACCAGGACAGGTTCCGAGCGAGTCTTCAACAATTGATCCTATATCTAGAAAAGGTTGCTCAACTGTTTCCCATGGTCAGCCTTGGCAGGCCAAGGAAGACTTGCGCAAATTCATGGAGAGCATCCTTTCTCAATCGAAGAAGTTGATGGCCTTGACCCGGGACCTGAATTCAAACTACGGCAAGGACCAATCAGCAATGGAGCTGGGCTCTCAAAGTCGCTGAAGGGGGTCCCCAACGCATGACTTAACCCATGCATGCAGACTTCTGTTCCAGGTCAGTGAAGAAACTTGAGCGAGAGTTGAAAGCCCTGGACGCGGCCTACGACGCATGCAACGATGTTATGACCTTTGGCTCGGTCCATGGAGTTCAAACAAAGGAGCCAGCTGTCCGCATGAAAAGGTCATGCCTATATGATTTTAGTTCAGATTGCCGGACATGGTCGTTTACTTGCCTTCATGTGTAAGGTATTGGGCCAAAACGGATGCAGTGATCAAAGAATCCACAGCCACGCCCGGCCCTGAGGAAGAACACAACTACCCACTCAAACAGGGTGAGCCCGCAAACTGCCCGGCCTCCAGGTGCGGGAAGGTGACGGCCACGGAGCGCAAAGTGCGGTCTCGACCTCAGCAGCGTACGTGCGTGTGCGCGTGCAGGTGTGTGTGTGCGTGTGTTTTCATGTGTGTGTATGTGTGTGTGTGTTTGTGTGGGTTTGTTTGAGTGCGTGTGTGTGTGACGTTCACGCATGTATAATGGGTTAATCCACCCCTAAGGAATGAAAAGAAATATTTCAACAAGTCGGAGGGCAGCAGCGACATGCCAAAAGCAAGAACATCATCAAAGCGAAAGGCTACGGAGGTTGCAGGAGCCGGCCCTGATGAGGAAGCCGACCCCGGAAGTTCCAAAGATTCCAACAAGGGCAAAGCCAAGTCTGCAAAGCGGAAGGCTAAGAAAGCTTAAGCGCTGCATGTTTTTGAGCAAAGGCTTCATGGCTAGCAGCCGCACAGCTGATCAGAATCGTTGTGCCTATGACTGGCTGCTTTCAGTCAATTTCACTTTGAGCTCGGGCACGATGTGGAACACCATCGTGAAAGCGTGCAAATGGGGAAAACAGCGTGCTTGTGAGATGCTTTTGGGAATCGTTCCACAATAACGCACTGCAACATGACAAGCCCTTCACCCTAGAGCTGCTGCCAAGCCAGGCGCCGGGCACACGCTGCGAGCCATCTCGAAGAGCACAGGCGACGGAGCGCCATGCACCTTATTCAGCAAGGTTTGCCGGAGTGAACTGGTTAACTTGTTGATTTGTTAATTGATTGGTCGGCCCATTTGTTTTCAGAGCGTTTTGTGAAAATTCCACTTAGAACATCTTAGAACCAACAGGCCAATGTGGGCACTGAATCATCAGATATAGGGTGATATGCCCATCTTGTTCTCAGAAAAGCGGCCCGTTTTTTAAAGGGTAAGTTTTGGATCCAAGAACTTTATCAAGCTTTAAGCGTGCTCAGGCCTCCTGCCGTCAAGCTATCCAAACAGCCCGAAGCATTGTGAAGGACTTCGGCGATTCCACAGTGGTGCGGGATTCTGGGATTCAGGAGGTTGCGAACTGCAGGTTGCAACATTCCGAGCATGAGTTGAACCGCATCGCAGAGTCCTACAACCTTTGCTTGCCAGTGCCCCTCAGCCCTATTGAGCCTGATCAGGAGGAGTTGGTTGGCCTCAAATTGACAAACTGGGCAAAGCTGCTTCTCAAAGAAAACCTTTGGCATATTTTAGCCGGCCTGCGACAACCAGATTCTGAAAGGTCCAAATGTATTTGGAAATCATTTTGGGAGCGATATCAAGAAATTGACCCTGCACATCCCATCTACGAGCGCGCAAGAGCTGGACTGATAGACCTATGCCAAACAGCGGCAGTCTTATATCACGGAGATGAAGGTCGGGGGCGGAAGCGGGGGGCCGTTATGATCTCCAACTTCTACAGTCTGCTAGGGAGAGGCACCAGCATGGCGAACCGAGTCCGCAAAGGGCGTTTCATCAAACACAAGCTCAATTACGTTGGCTCAACCTATAGCACCAGATTTTTGAGTGGCATTTTGCCAAAGCACTTGTATGGCAAGAAGGAACACGCTCTTCGTTCTCTGTTTCGTTCTGGAGCCAGCGAGGCAGAGCACATGTTTTACAAAGGAGTGACATGCCCAAGGGGAACACAACACTACATGTGCCTTTTGCACATTTGCGGGGACTGGCCATTCCTCATGAAATGTGGCAATTTGGGCAGGGGCTTCACCCGCAGTGCCAAGACTGAACACGCAAACACGAAGACCCCTGCTGCTGGCGTATGTCATTTGTGCCTTGCCGGCACAAAGGGTTTCCCTTGGGAACAGCTGGATACGGAAGAGCCATTGTGGTTGTCCACATGCCACGCCAAGCCCCCTTTTCAACCAGTGCCAGAGTTTTTGAGTGTGCCTCACAACACGCAAATGGCAGCCGCGATGTTCATGCCAGATGTCTGGCACAATTGGCATTTGGGAGTGGGACGAGCCTTTCTGGGTTCAGTCATCGCGCGGGCTGTCGCGCACTTCCCGGGCAGCAAAATTGGGACGCGTTTCGAATCTTTGTCAAACCATTTCTTGGCGTGGTGCAGGACTGCCAAGCGACAGCCTTACATTAGCCGAATCACGCAGGACACCATCAACTGGAAAGAGAAGTCGCGCTATCCATTGGGAGGGTGGTCCAAGGGAAACACTACATATGTGTTGATGCTCTGGTTTACAGCGTGGTACGATGAGGAAGCTCCGGATGACCCAGCGCTAGCAAAAGCGGCCACTGCTGCTCAACTTATGAACGAGTGCCTGAGTGACTTGTACAACCAGGACCTTTGGATTGAAAGTTCCCAAGCCATCATCATTGCACGCAAAGGGCTTCAGTTTTTGTCTATTTACACGCAACTTGCTCGTGATGCTTTTGAAGCAAAGTAAGCTCTGTGGGCCCTCATCCCGAAGAGCCACATGCTACACCATGCGTTCCTTACAGGGATGCTTCTCCCGGCTCAAAAGCAGCCACGCGTTGTCAATCCAATGGCCTTTGGATGCCAACTTTCAGAAGATTTTGTCGGCCGGCCGAGTCGAATAACTCGAAGAGTTAGCAGTCGGCTACCCGTCAAACGTAGCATGCAGAGATATTTGAGAGCCTCTTATGACGCATGGGTGCAAGAAGGCTACCTGGTCCCTCCATGAGCTTCGTTGGGTCCCTCAACATTTTCAACCTATCAAATGTTCTTTTCGCTATACCTAATCATGTGACTCCTTTGTTTGAGGGATGCCATCCCATAGCCGGGGTCCCCGGCCATTGAGTGAACGTCCGCTTCGCTTCGTCAGCCAAAAGACCAGCAAGGCGCGGCCGGACATACCCCCTCCCAAACTCTTTTGGGGAAAGCCGGGTTTTTCTTTGCAAAACCCGTGTTTTTCATCGCGACCAAACAAATGTAGGAACCTTGGGTATAGGGAAGGGAATGATTTATGATTCCAAGCTGTTAATAAAGACAAACGCTGTCGCTATTCTTTCAAACATAGCTTCATTTCGTGGTGCGAGATGCTGTGCGTCCATCCACGGCAACTTTAAGACATTGAGTGATCATTTCAGACATGTTGTATCCCCTTATTCCACCGATATCGGCACCTGGGCAAATGATAATTGACCATGCGAAATCGCCAAGAAAGGAAGCGGCCCAAGGGCGACGTCAAACAGAGGTACCATCCCCGTTGAGGCACCGTCCCCTTTACAGGGTCCCTTCATGAATATACCAGAAAGTTTACATGGATGTATCTGTTTTGCGGAGATCCCCCTCGCAAGCCTTTGTCTGGTATTGAAGCGAAACCAACCGGCAAACCACTATTTTGTTTTCTCTTTTGTGCTTTGTTGTTTTGTTGTTGAATTTGTTTGTTGTTTTCTTTTGGGGGGGGGGCCCAACAAACAAAGACGCCCCATATGTTTGGAACAATAGCGTTTTCCACTACTTTGTTATTATTATGTTTTTGTGGGGAGGGGAAGGGGGAGGGTCCCCCAAAAAAAGCAACCCAACTCCATCCACAGGGCACCGCTCCATCAGCCCCATCCCCCGGCCGAGCGAAGGAAGGCCTTGGCCGCCAGCCCGAAGCGCTCGCAGCGCAGCCACAGCTCTTCACAGTCCTCGGGGTGGATGTGCACCCGCAGCACCTGCGAAGTGATTTGGAACCCAGCTTGACCCCATCCTTGGCATTGCAAACAAAAAACCTGGCCTTTTTTTGCGGCCCTGCCAAGAGACATGAAGAACACCAAAAACATAAAAACCGAGGCGACCCCAACACCTGAGCGAGATGTGCGAAGGAACAGCACGTAGAAAGTGAACCGGACTTGGTAAAGTGGACTTCTGAGATCCAGATGGTATTGTTAGATTCTTTAGAATTGAATTATCAGCAAATTCACTGAGTTGAACTTAGCTTCCCAGTGATTTGGGGGGTTGAATCCCACCTCATTCCAGGGTGAGGGATCAAACAAACTGTTTAGGCATCAAAAAAACTTATTTCTAAAGTTCAAAAAACTTATTAGGGATTAAACAAACTTATTCTCATTGGTTTACTATTAAAAATGAAAAATCAGAGGATCAACAAAAAAACTTTATAGGGATCAAACAAAGCTTATTCATTTCGTGGCAGGCGAAGCACTTTCGCAAGGTCAGGTACAAATTTCGTGGCACGCGCGGCACTTTCGCAAGGTAGGCGCCGCGGCATCGCAAAGTGCGGTACAGATTTCGCGGCAGGCGCAGCACTTTCGCAAGGTCACGTACAGATTTCGTGGCAGGCGCAATACTTTCGGAAGGTCAGGTACAGATTTCGCAGCAAGCGCAGCACTGTTTTTGCAAGGTCAGGGACAGATTCGCGGCAGGTGCAGGACTTTCGCAAGGTGCGGTCCAGATTTCGCGGCAAGCGCAGCACTTTCGCAAGAGGTGCACATTTCGCGGCAGGCGCAGCACTTTCGCAAGGTACGGTGCAGAGTTTGACGCAGGCGCAGCATTAAATCAGCGGGGGGGGGGGGGGGCGGCAGCCCCCCCCATGATGTTCGAGCAAGTGATGATTCAACAAGGGGTGCGTTAAGCTCTGCCAGCATTCGCCCCCCCCCATGATGTTCGAAGAAGTGATGATTCAACAAAGGGTGGTGATGATCGAAGAAGTGATGATTCAGCAAAGGGTGCGGTAATCTCTGCAAACATTCTGAAAATCAGCGGGGGGGTTGGGGCAGCCCCCCCCCATGATGCTCGAAGAAGTGATGATTCAGCAAAGGGTGCGTTAATCACTGTCAACCTTCTACAAATCAGCGGGGTGGTTGGGGGGGGGTTCCTTCCTTCCTTCCTTCCTTCCTTCCTTCCTTCCTTCCTTCCTTCCTTCCTTCCTTCCTTCCTTCCTTCCTTCCTTCCTCCTTCCTTCCTTCCTTCCTTCCTTCCTTCCTTCCTTCCTTCCTTCCTTCCTTCCTTCCTTCCTTCCTTCCTTCCTTCCTTCCTTCCTTCCTTCCGCCCACAGGAATGAGCATAAGTTGTTTTTTGATGCCTAATAAGCTTTTTAAGCTTTTTTTTGATGCCTAACAAGTGTTTTTGTTGATGCCTAATAAGTTGTTTTTGTTGATGCCTATCCCCTCATCCCACCTCCTTTGAAACCAATTGGGGAGGGTTGGGGGTTTGAACCCAGGCGTCCCGAAAAACTTGGGCAAGGGATTTCCTGTAAAGGATGGAGGGGCCGGGGGGACGGTCTCGAAGTATGTGTGTGCGGGGGGAGGGGGGGTGGTTGAACCAAGGGGTCCTCCTCGCGATGCGGAAGCAATCTGTTGGAATCTCCACACTAAACTGCGGGGTCTGGAAACACCAGCCGGGTAACTGCGGGGGGTGTGGGAAAGCGCAAACGTTAGTAATACTGTGGATGGACGAAATCCTGCACCACCTAAGAAACCCTGGAATGAGGAGTTCCTTGTAAATACCAAGAAACAATGGTTTACCACGGTTTCAAAGTGGTGCAGGATTTCGTCCATCCACAGTATTCATCCCCTTTTGCCTTCAGAGGAAACAAGCTGCGCATGCTTCTGCTCAAACGCCTAGTCTGCCCGAGATCAGCGATGGAAAACTGGACAAGTGCGAGTGGCCCGAACCTTTCGGTGCCTGGCTCAAAAAACCGGTGGGTCCACCAAAACAACCGAGTCCTTGAAAGAAGCCTCCCGTCCGCCGGCCCAAACAAACGAACCTCGAAGACCTCGAGCCTCGCTGCAGTCGGGCGGGCAGTGGGGCGTCACGTACATCATCCAGTCCGGCTTGCAGGCAAAACAGCTCCTCGGTGTCAGCGAAGCCTGATTACCCCCTGGGCAAATGACCAAAACAAACCAGCACATCCATAGAGCCGTGCCCCTTGGTTTCCGGGAACTGGAGGTTTGTGCTCTCCAAACCCCCCAAAGTCGGCATCGGTCAAATCGAATCTGATGCATTGGTTTGGCGGTCAAATCCCCTTTGGCAAGTACTGCTGCAATTTGCATGGGGGTTGGACCGCGTTTGGAGCTGACATAGGAACTTGCCATGCTTCATAAACATGGGAACTTCCTAGATAGCCAAGTTGCTGTTTTTTTCAGTCACTGTTGCTGGTTTTGGGGGTAAAGTGCATGGAAAACATCAGCAACTGGCGATCCGGGTTGCCATGTTTCATAGGGTGCAAAAAGCGCCAGTTGCCCAAAGAAAACACATCCCTCATTCCCTTGTAGAGGTTAGAATAAGGGTACCCTTTTTTCTGTAGTCTATTTTAATATTTTAGTAGGGGAACCCTCCCCCAAAAAAGGGTAAAAGGGCACTACTGGGGGACCTAGCCTTGGTCATTCTGTCGGTGGACCAAATCCAGCACCACCCTGGTTATTCTTTGCTGGTATTTGCAGGTTGGAATCATCAGAAATCAGGGTTCTGCACGGTGGTGCCTAAGAGGATTTCGGAACCATCCACAGTCGGAAGCAAGCAAAACTTGATTCTTGAACTCTGCTGAATACTGCTGAGCGCCCCAGGAAGACACATCCCTCATTCCTGCTGAACGCCCCAGGAAGACACATCCCTCATTCCTTGGCAAAGCCCCTTGCATATGAAGATCCCAGAAAGTCCTTGGAAGCATGCTAAACGCAGGGCCGACCAATTTTTCTCCACAAAACCGTCCCCTTAAAGCGAGACAGGCGAGACGTGGCCGGCCTGCTAGGGCGTTTGCGCCTTTTGGCCCCATCGTAAAAGCACAAGCCCGATGAGGGGTTACCCGAAACAAATGTACTTTGGATTGGTTTAGAGATCACTTAGCTTCCAAACAAACTGTCCTTCAAATCCCCAAACCAATCCAAACCCACCGAATAAGGGGTACCTGAATTTGGGCTTCCCCATGTTTCACGGGGAAAAAAAACAAAGAAAACACGTGCTTCCCCTATGTCTCCCCTATGCTTCCCTTCAGGTTCCAGGGGTGCCCCAGCCCAGGGGCATGCCGGCGGCGTAGGTCAGCATCGCCGCCCAGCAGTCGCCGTGGACCTGACAAAGAAAGCCCTAGGAATCGGACTGACCCAAGGGAACTTGGTTCACGTTGGAAGGGGAGCAACATGTTTTTTTTTAGCAGTTCGGTGGTTGGATTTCAACCACTAAACTACAATAAGCAAAAATGTAACAAGTGTCCCAACAACAACCATGGGACTCTTGCCGCGGACGAAAGATCTACCACTTCCGGAACTTGCTGGTGCGATAGGTAGGCGAAATATCTACTTCCGTGACTGGAGCAAAGGTTGAGGAGGTGATCGGCAACTTGGTAGGTGGTTTTCGAATGTATCCGTCCACCCGGAACTTGCTGGCGCGATAAGTAGGGAATGTGGGAATGAACGCAGGCTTTGGTCCCCCATTCCCTGCTGAGTACCAACAAGGGAAATATGCTCATTTTACCCTGGAAAATCAGCCGAAACGACCCACAACCGGACATTGGGCAACATATGCAACCACACACGCCAGCACTTCTGCGAGTGTAAGGTGTGCGCATATAAATGTTTTCTCTTCTTCTTCTTCTTCTTCTTCTTTTTTTAACCAATACATCATTGTTCACTAGACTCGCGCACAAGAAGCGAGTTGCTCATTTCGGCCATTTCCCAACAGCCCCTCCTTCCCCCCCCCGTTCTCCCCCCCGCCAAAAAAAAGGTAAATCAGAACCACCGCAACCCCCCTCAAGTCCCCCCTCCCGGCTCCCCCAAGTTCCCCCCAAGTTCCCCCTCCCAATTCCCTCAAATCCAAACGCCCCCCCCCCACCCCCCCACCCCCGCCCCAACCCCCCGCCACCCCCCCTTCAGCCGCCTTGGGCTGCAGCACGGGCCCGAAGCGCTCCAGCGCCAGGCCGAACTGCTCCCGGTACCGCCGCGGCGCTGCGGCGAACTCCGAGCTGTTCGCCACCGCCAGCACCTCGACGAACTGCGCGACCCGGCGGCGTCGTTTTTTTTGCTTCTCTTGGCAGGGGAAGGGCATCTTGCAGGACGTAGTTTAGTAGGGGAACCCTCCCCCAAAAAAGGGTAAAGAGCTCTACTGGGGTCCTAGTTTTTCTTTCAGGGGAAGGGGGTGGGGGAAGCCAACCGGAAAGGTTTGCTTTCTTGTTGCGCGGCAGGGGAAGGGCACCCGAATTTTTGGGGGAAACCAACGGGACAAATCGAAAAGGTGTCCCCTGTTTTTTTTTTTTTTTTTAATGGTTTGGGGTGGTGAAACGGAAACTGAAAGCAAGAAACACTCGTTTTGGGAGGGGGGCCCTATGTTCACACAAAACTCCAAACATGGGCTCAACCACAAAACATTGTTTGTTTGTTTTTTGCAGCCCCGCATAAAATGACCAGAAAAGAATCTAACAACCGTGAAGTTGTTCTTTATTTTAACTGAGTCCAGTTTTGTGTTCTCCAAAGGCCCACCTGACAAGGGGAATTGCTGGTGACAGGCATGGTCAAGGCTTGAAAATTGAAGGATCAAATCAAGCCGCAAAGCATCCAAGCGGACACCGCAATCTGCAAATCCAGGCTTGAAACCCAGCCCTTCATTGCAAGAACAATCATGAACGCTAACATAGGTGCCCTGTGAGAAGAAGAACAAAAAGATGGGTGTGAAATGGTTTATGAAACACGCCTCACCCGGTGCAACCCCATCGTTTTCTAGCCAAGCTAGCCTAAAACTATCAGGGTTCCACTTTTGGACTAGACTTAAACCCAGGGGTGGTTTATTCCCAAAAAAAGTCTATCTTGAGGTAGTCAAAACAGTGGAACCCTAGTAATTCTTGGCCCCTAAACCATGAGTTGGATAGTTGCCATCACAAAAGCCACATCCAAACCCCGATTTCTGGAGGAACCTTATGGAAGACCAAACATTCCATTTGGTTAAGACCCCTGGAAAAAAATCCTGTTAAAACCAACAAGGGAAAATGAAAAACCTATTCATTTCGGCAAATGGAAGAACAAGCCGGCGTTTCGCTTTTGGCCTCTCAAGTCCTGGCCCAAGAAACGGACGCATGATGCTCAATGACCCGGGCCAGCTTCGAGGGGAAGATGTGATGCTGGTAGTAGCCGTAGTGCTGCGCTTGCACCTTCTCGAACCTAACGGAGCTGAGATCGGGTCTGGACACATCGGAAGTCACGTACCCAGCGATCGATTCGGAAACTCGGTGGTTACTTCGGTGAGATAACCCACCAGACTTATAAACATGGCTAGAACCAAGCTTACTAAGTACCCTGCCTAAGTATCCCCTGGTTTGTTTTGGGGTAAATTAGGAATATTGAAGCATGCATAGTCCACACGTGCTAAGCATTTACCAGCTTTCGTGCAGCGCTAGGTTTGCAGCCACAAAGGTGGATCGGGTAAATGGAAACGAGGACTAAACCTGCGGTCTATATCCTGGTGGTTTAGTTTTGACACATACCCAAATGACGAAACGGGCAAGACTTCGTCTGGGTCCATGTCCCCATAAACGCCAATCCTGTAAGAGGGGATATCCGAGTCATGCCAAAAGGGCCCACGTGCTCTCTGTGTTTCCCCGTGTAATAACCAAGACAGCGACCAGGCCTTTACTTGGCAAATCATATACACTTTTCCTGAGCGGACTGGCCAAAACAGGTCAGAGTTGTTGGTTGCCGCCAACGTGGTTTGCACGAAACGTGGAAAGTCCTGGAATCTCGGGGAGTGCATATACTAGGTCCTCCAGTAGAGCGGTTAGAATGAGGGTACCCTCTTTTGTTTTTCTCGGTAGGGAGAGAAGGGCACCCAGCTGGGGGACCTAGTTCACATCAACCTCCACCCAAAGCACACCGCAACCAAACGGCGAGGGGAAGCTGCAAGAGCTCTCTCTCTCTCACTGTCCTTTTCACAGCGCGCGGCGTGGGGCGCGTTCAAAATCGGATCCCCAGATCCATCCGAAGTTGGACATCGCGAGGAAAGCAACGGGCATAACTCGTCTGGCACAAGGCGTGCGGATTGATTTTGAACAATGCGGTTGTTGTCCGTTTCGGCTGGCATGTTTGCCGTTTTGTCTATGTGTGTGCGTGTGTTGTTGAAGGAAAAACCGAAGGGAATCCAACGCCTTTTTGCCCCCTGGACAGAAACGATACATTATATCGAATAGCTTAAAACCATCGGGGAAGAATAAAGAATACCTACATCCTCCAGTAGAGAGGTTAGAATAAGGGTACCAACCTTTTTCTGTATATAGTCTATTTTAGTAGCGGAACCCTCCCAACCAAAAAAGCTGGTAGAGAAGGGCACCTAGCTAAGGAACCTAGATATAATGAAACGCAAATGGAAGCTAATTTGGGCAGCGCGGGGCTTCCATATCGGCCAAAGGGCTCAGCACTGCAGCAGGAGGCGTCCAGGTTGTAGGCCGGGCACAGCTTCAAGCCTATCAATGGGCAGAATGGGTGTGTGTCCAAATTAGTCACCACCAGGAATTGTACCGCAGGTTTTATGGGTTCCATTTACCATTTTGAGGTTACCCCATTTTTGACCCACGGCCATTGGGACACTTTAGACAACCATTGATTGCAAGGCTTGAATAAGGGTGCCCTACATTAATACTTGAGGAGCGGGTGAACGAAAGCTAGCAGTTGTTGCGTGAGATGGGTCGGTGAAAGAGTGGATTCATACGTAGCTTGTGTACAACCAGAGGCCCGGCAAGATTCGTAGGATGCGACACGCAAACGCACATGGTGGCGTGGCAAACCTTGAAAAATGAAAACAACGAGAGGCGTCAGAAGCTGTCTTAAAGCACCTCTGGGTTATCGGTGGAACATGTAAAAGTTCGTAGCACCAAGTCCAAAACGGGCAAACCGAGACTGCTGAACACTGAGCCACTGCCGGGGGGGGGGGGATGGACCAGGGAGGAATCGAGCCTGAGACCGGGGGGGGGGGGAGGGGGGGGGGGTCTAAATGATTGATGTTTTTCAATCTTTTCGGCTCAAATAATTGAAAAAATCAATCTTTCGGCATTTGAGCCCCTTACCTTGCTTACGCAAGGAGAAACTTCAGCTAGCTAAAGCTAGCTTTCGTGACTTAAATACTGGTACCAATGGACAGCCCTACTTAAATACTTCAAGGGGCAGGGTACCTTACATAAGTAGTCGGTAAGCCTGCTGAGATAAGCGACCTAGGAGACTTACAACCATGGCAAGTGGGTTATGACCAAGCTTACCAGCCACTTGCCCCTTTGAGTAAGGATTCGTACTGTACCTGTCCAAAAAAGGAACCCTCCAAAATTGCGGCGTTCTGATTCTTAAGGCTAGCCACGCTACAGATACTCAAACATTCACGGACCTTTTTTGGTCATGAACTTCGATGGGAAGTTCCTCCAAACTGGTTGCCTAGCATTTCTCCCCATGACCTCTTAAACGATCCATTGACATAAACTTGGGTGGACAACCAGTCAGGTTGCTTCCGTGGTATAAGTCAACCTCCCAAAACCATTCACATGGAACCCGCGAAACACGGGTTTCGAGGGAAAAACAAACATTTTCCCGTTTCTTCGGGACAAGGAGCCAAATGGGTTACCAAGGGTCAATCGGTTTTGAACCCAAACTTCATCCAGGCGCCAAGCTCGGGCAAGCAGAAGCAAGCGTTTCTGGATACGTGCTGGGAGGATACTTAAAGGGGCATTGTACTTAGCAAGTGGCTGTAGGTTGTAACCAGGCTTAGTTACCACTTCGAGGAAGATTTGTGTTGAGGGTGAAGCATCCTCTGGTTCATTGGATCCTCGTTCAACTTGGCCCTGGGACCCGGACATGCTTGTCAATCCCAACAAAGCGCCTTGGTCCCACAGTGCTTGCTTCCAGGGAGTGAGAGCTTGCTCCCTTGAAATATTTAGGTTTCGCAAATAGGGAGGCAACAAGTCTGCGATCGGCCCGAGCATTTCTTCAAGTCGGGCTGACTCACAAACTAGTGCCTCACTTGTCTGTCGGTTGGCACAGGACACATGGAATTCCGGCTAGTGTTTTCAGCTTGCTCCAAGTGGCAGGCGACCATACCAGCCACACCACACCTGCCCTCTGTTGGGCCGGTCATTCGTGACACCCCTGAGGCAAACCACTGCAACATTGCAACAAGGTTTCCCAAAATTGCCTAAATTCTGTTAATGTTAACCCCGGATTGATGTTGACCCCAGTGTCCCTGGGTTTGGGGATTCAGTTCACTCTTGCAGGGGAACACCCCAGAATAAACTGAGGTTGATGAATCTGGGGTCAACATTAACCAACAGAACATCCGATGGTGCAACCATTGAGGACACGCCCACAAGGCGCGGCGCGCCTAGCAAAAAACAAACCGAACCCCGGCTAGAATCTGGAAGCTCCTGGCCTGACCCATAACGAGGTTGTAGGCAGCTTTAGCTGCTGGGTGTGTGCTTTTCTTGAGGGTACTTCTTGTTTTGTGTTTTCAATGGACTCCGACTAATAGAGACATCCCCACCATGACGAAACAAACAATTTACTTCACTAGAACCCCGGGCTGTCTATACACAACCCGCGAACCAAGAAAAAGTGTCGCTCGCGCCTTTGTGCACGGTGGGAATGCTGTTCATCGTGGCCACGCGGTTGGGATCCATCACCGTGGCAGAGCCATACTCCCCGAACCAATGCCTTCGCTCGCTTCGAATGCAGCCTGGAGCTGATTCGCTGGCTAACCTCTGGATTTCTATGGGAAAGAACACATGGTTCACTAACATGAGCGGTCCCAACATGGCGCAACATTATTCTTCGTGGTTTCCCTTCAAACCAAGCTGAAAAGGGCACCGAGCCGCAGAAAAGCGCTGACCCAAGTGGTGACCCAAGTACAAACAAAGTTCGGGGCGGGTTCTGCCCCACCTACGGTTGACCCCGGATGACGCAATTTGGATTGTTAGGGCGCGTGCTTCCCCCGAAAAGTGATGCGGATCCCCCGTAAACTTGGACAACAGCCCTAGCTAGGGGTTTATTCAAGTAGATTCATTGGCTCACCAGAGACTCCCCATCCAACTCAAACATCCCCCAACGAGGAGACTCATCTACAAGTGCCCCCAAGTTGGTGATTCTTTGCGCTCAACTCACCACTGCAATCGAGAGCATTGGGCAAAACCAGTCCAAGCAAACATGCTACTCATGTCATTTACCACTGACCCCCAAAAAATGAAAAAAAAGTCCAGGCACTCAGGCGAGGAAAATGGAAAAGGACTGGACCCCTCAATGTGGCTTTGCTCCAAGCGGCGCTTTGAACAGTGGGTCGTGGCACTGGAAATCGAGGGCGCCACAGGGAATCAGATACCCGAAGACGAATGCTCGGGCCATGGCGCGGTCTGGTGGTTGGTGGGTGGTGGTGGGTGGTGTGGAAGTGGAAGTGGCAGTGGAAGTGGTGGTGGTTGTGGGTGTGGCTGCTGGTGGTGGTGGTGGTGGTGGTGGTGGTGGTGGCGCTGGTGGTTTTGGTGAAGTGGTGGTAGTGGTGGTGAAGTCGTGTTGCTTGTGGTGAAGTGGTAACAGTGGTAGCGATGAAGAGGTGTCTGTTGTGTGTGCGTGTGTGCGCGTCGTGTGACAGCGTGTGTCTGTGCTGGAAGTGGTGGAAGCTGCAGTAGATCGTCCGGGAGTTGGCCAAAGAATAAATTGCTTCCAGGCTATCCCTCTGTTTGTCACTCGAACTTAGCGGCTCCCAGCTACAGGTCTGTCTCAAAATAGGAGACCAACTAGCTAGCTTAGTTGCTGTTGACCCCTCTGCCTTTGTTTTTCATCTTTTTTTATGTGGGTATAATCCTCTGTTTCAACCAAACAAGTTAAACTCCAAAGTTCCGTTACAAAGTAGCCATGAAGCCAGACGCGTAGAAGTCTGTTGGAGACCTAAGTTGGTTTGCTTCTGCTTCTCCCACATGGCACCTCACAGGGGGTCCCTCCCTCGAGGAAACTGATCTTCCAGGCCTCTCATAGGCACCATCTTAGTGGGGGGAAGGGGAAACTTTGTCTTGGTTGACGTTGGAAGGGGAGCAAACATCTTGAAATTTTAGCAGTTCAGTGGATTTGGACTTCCCACCACCCACAATAAGCAAAGATGTAAAAATTATGTCCAAACAACAACCATGTTGTGCCCATACCCAAATCACGACTCCAAGTTGATCGGCTGGCTGGCATCGGGCATCTGAAATCCTGAATGTGCGTAGCCCGTAGCTAGCTCGGACCACCTCGCAAATGAGGGTCCAACACAGTGATTGGGATGACCCTGATTCCTAGCTGATGGGTCAAAACATGCAAACCGCCTGAGTCCCACTCTTGACAACCCAAACAGATCCGCATATTGTGTAGATAGTCACTTCTAGCCGCTTCAACTGATAATTGAGTTTGCTCCGGTTGTTTTCGTGAACACTCTCTTTCTGAGAGCACCCTGGTGATGCAGAATGTCGGACATCAAAAGCGATCGCACATAAGAGCGGCTGGCTCAGTCATGCTGCAACGGTTCAAACTCAAACAGGTACAAGGGCCAGAATAACTTGAATGGATTTGTGGTGTGCTATTGAACCAAGATACTTCATAAGCATAGGAGAATCATAAGATTGGACTCGCCTCAACTTAGGACATGCCGCGAGTGCATCTTTTTGGCGCCCCCCGTCTTATGCCACGCGGGTTCGTAGCGCCGTCCGGATGTGGCTGCTTGGCTACTCCTCAGACCTCAGAGCAACGGCGGTTCACTCGGCCGATCGAGATGTGGGCCTTTTTTGACCAATTCGGCCGCATGAAACCTAACACCCGGAGCTTGCAGGTCAGTTGGCTGTGGGTCAAAACCAATGGTACCATTTTGGTTGGTAGGTGCACCACCCATTTTAGTCTATTTTAGTGGTTGGATTGGGATGTTCACTTGGGGTACGGGCTTTGGATTTTGACCCATGTCCAGTTCTTGGTTTGTTGGTGAGTCACAAACCAACCCGTTACTCACAAGATGTCCACACTCTCAGAGGTTGACAGACTGGATCTGGAGCCCCATGCCACTGCGAAACGGCGTCTCCAAGAAAAATCCTGCAGCCGCCCAGGAAAAATCTGGCCATCCACATGTCCAGCGCTCTCAGTGTCCTTTGTCAGTATGGGGTTGCCCTGAAGGGAACAGGTTGATGAAAACAGCTCCATACTGTGGATGGACGAAATCCTGCACCGCCTAAGAAACCCTGGAATGATGATTCCCCTGTAAATACCAACAAACAATGGTTTTCTCATGGTTTCAAAGTGGTGCAGGATTTCGTCCATCCACAGTATGGCCCATGATGTTCATTTCTGGCAAAACGGGTCACGCCAGGCGCAGGGTTCCGTTTGTCTGCACTAGACACGCCAAAGAGTATATGTCGCAAACATGCTCGGACATGACCCGAGCTCCGCGTTCTCCGCCGAGAGCCCAACATACCATCTTGTTTTTTTGAGGGTACCTCGTTTTGGTGGTTTTAAATGGAACCAAAAGGAAAACCGTCATATTGGGGGGTCCCTAAAAAAGACACACCCATGTTCAACCATATAGGGTTGCTTTCACACACCAGCGGCTTTCCGAGGTTTGGTTTGCGTTGCCCCCGGAAACATGAGTATCTTGAATGCCAGACTTCGCTCACCATAAAACATGTGACACCAAGTGAATAAGAATGCGCTGGCATGGATGACCAATGTTTAATGCTTGGTGCAATCTTTTGGGATCATAGGACCAGCAAGTATCATGCCTCCCCCCCCAACGATGTCCAACCTAAAATATGCCGAACAAACCATGTCATAGCTGTGGATCCACCAATTCTGGAGCAGCCCTTTCATCCCTCGAAGTCTTCAAACGGCGCTTGCCCAGTTAGAACCTGGAAATAGCAAGGTGATCACTTCTTGGTGCCGCGTCTCTAGGTCCTCCAGTAGAGAGGTTAGAATAAGTTGGTACCAACTGTTTTTCCGGCTTGTCTATTTTAGTAGGGGAACCTTCCCCCAAAAAAAGGGGCGGTAAAAGGGCACTACTGGGGGACCTAGGTTTCAACACGGATCAACATGGCTTGGAAGCCCAAAAGGTCAAAAGTTGAAGCTTTGGGCAAGCGAGTATATACAAGTCCGGTTCGTTCTTTTTTCTTAACAAATACAAGGTGTTGAACAGCTTGACTCAAACTGGGCCGAAAAGGGAAACACACATTTCAAAAGGTTCAAGGGTTGATTCGCTTTGGACAACAAATGGTGTACCACAATTGGTTGGTCTTTGAAGGCAAGCGAAACGGTACTGTATTAACCATTTTACTGGGCTGTCCAAACTGATCGTCTGCTAAACATGTTGTAATTTGTGGTTGAATTCGGACACCCAACCACTAAACCAACTAAATTACAACTAAACCACCTAGGTCCTCCAGTAGAGAGGTTAGAATACGGGTACCTACTTTTTCTGTAGTCTTTTTTAGTAGCGGAACCCTCCCCAAAAAAGTCGGTGAGAGAAAGGCACCTAGCTGGGGGACCTAGCCACCTCAGTCGAACCGGACGAAACCGCTGGGAACCGCTTCTCAAGTTGTTTACCTTTGAGCATAGGTGTCCAGCAATTGGCAAATAGATGGATATCCCTGGTAGATGATTGAACCACCAGGTAAACCAGGGCCTTCTATGTTCCTTCCATGTGCTTAAGCCCCTGGAAACAATAATACATATTTCCAGAGTGATAGATTCCCTATGAAAACCAACAGGGATAACAAACATGTAAAGAAATGGACGTTTCTAAGCAAACCAACCAAAAAGGACACCTACGGCTTTTCGCCGACAAAAAACGCTGCGCCCCCGGGCACCAGGGAGATCCGCGACACCTTGCCTCAGCGACTCGAGAGATCCGATTTTGGGCTCGCCCGGTTTTTCTGAGCCGCGGCAACCCGTTGGTTTGGAGGTTTGCAGGCAGAACTAAAGGAACACCACCAAGTTATTCCATTTGGTTAAAGCCCCTGGAACAAATAAACAGACTTCCAGTAGTGATAAATGCCGTTTAAAACCAACAAGGGACAATATATAAATAATTAAAACAATATCCTTAAGCAAATGGAAGGTTAGGCGGGGTCCCCCTAAAAAAACGACACGCACATTTGAGGAGTCTGCCAATGGTCTTGGGTATGAAGTTCGAAAACTCAGGGAGTGAGTCGAGGATGTTTTTGCGGTGACAGTTTGATGTTTGAGGCGTCAATTTGGGGGACCCTTCCAACTTCCAACTAGGACCTGAGGTGTGACAACAGGTTTGCTGGCACTTATGCATGCTCCAATGGCAAAGCAGCCTTGCTAAGGGGGACTAATTTGGACCGCACTTCACATCCGATGGATCTCTCCCAAGTCATAGGGCCATAAGAACGACCCTCCGATCTGCGGTGCAGAACATGACGTCTCGGGGTGGAAGACGTCCCGTTGCTGGGTGAATTATGACATTTCACCAACCTGAAATGAGGTGGTTGGGGAGATATTCCCCAACATAAACCACCATTTGGGGTGAATTCGGTCATGTGAAGTCGTTATAATTCACCCAGTCGTTTCCTTTGAAGGGAGACCCTCCCGTAGGTCCTATGTGGACAGGAGGGTCAATGTTCGCAACCTTCGGGGCAGCATTTGGGCGTGGCGTTTTTGGTGCACATAAGTCTTAAGTGCGGATTCATGTCCAACCACTTTTCAAGTGGTTCTCCCCTTTACAAGTATAAATTCATAGCCAATGTCAAAGCAGAAGCGGACTGGGTTGCTTCAACTGCTGGTGTGTGATAGACCCAAAGCCTTGGTCAAACCTTCCGCGGAAGACCCTTGATCAGGTACCCCCCCAAATGGGTTTGAACCCCTGGTGCTTGAATGGGAAACTAACCCGGTCAGCTCCAGCTTCTCCCACTTGGTGTCCCCATTCGTGTTTTTTGTTGTTTTTTTTTCGATCCCCAAAGCAGCAGTGAACTGTTCCTGTTCCGCTTAAAACCCAACAGATGCTGTCCTCGGTGGCCCCAACCCGGAACCATCTCCGGAACCCGAATCCTGCAAGCTGCCCCCAACCACCCCTGACCGATGGGCAGAGACCGAATCCCTGGCTTGCGGCCGGGGAAAAGCGCTAGGTCCAGTAGAGAGGCTTTTTTTTTCTTCTTCTTCTGGGTTGTCGATTTTAGTAGGGGAACCCTCCCCAAAAAACAGTTGGTGAGAAAGGGCACCTAGCTGGGGGACCTAGAGCGATGTTTTGCCATTGGCCAATGGAACAAATCCAGGATTTTGCCTCCCAGGCTTCGAGAAAGTGCCATCGGGGGATGATCCTGGATGTCCATGGCACCTTTGTGTTGGTTGACTCTGAATCAAGGGATTTAACCCCCTCCCCCCCCCCCCCCACGAAAAAAGAACTCGAAGAATGACGCCAGGTCTTGCATGAGGGGTTGTTGCTGGTTCACCCCCC